TGTGTAGGATACAGTGCAGGAGAGAAATCAGCTGCAGCTTAGTCCTTGGATTGTTGAGCTTGTCTCTTTCCCCTTTCGCTCAGTTCCCCACTCTGTGTCTGATTAGATGCCTACTCCCCCTCTCTCCCGGGCCTTCCCTTCCTGCATCTGTATGATGTGTGGCTATGCTTCTGTGCTGAGCTCCTGCCTACGCAATCCCTGCCCCCGCAGGAGGCTCTTCTCTTGGGATGATTAAACAAACAGGGAGCAGGCTGAGAAGGCAGGTGGCTGGAGCCACAGCAGGCAGGAATGATGGGCAGAGAACAGAAACCAGGGGCAGGCCTGGTCTTGGCTGTCTCCCAACACAAGCTCCTCACCAAGGGGCCTGTCCTGGCTGACTGGTCCTTACTTGGCTTCAGGTGTCAGGCTTCACAGGTGCACCAGGGGGCCTGAATATGCCAGGTTATGGACTCCTTTGAGGCCTAAAAAGAGCCAGAGAAAGTTCACTCAGAGAGGACGTCCTTGTGCTATTAGTCTCCGTAGCCTTGTAGGATATGCTGGTGAATGGACAGGCTGGGGACAAGAAATCAAGTTACTGAAACAGGCGAAGCAATTATGGGAAAGCAGTCATGGGCCTTTGGGTTCATGTATTCTGGGGGTGAAAGCACAGGGAATTTTCAGTCTGTGAGGCTGGTAGTTTTGAGTCTTCCTGGCCATTCAGTGGTGTTACCATCTGCAGAGTGATTATAGGCAGTAGCTATAGGAAACCTCCTCACTGATGTCTCTCAGTATCACTGCTGATTTTAGTTCTTGTGAAAAAGTCTGAACAAGAAGTTTCACTAGCCAGTCAAGATCACAATTCCTGATCTCATTCCTATCCCTTGGGTTTTATTTCTCTCCCGGTGATTTTGTCAGTTTTGCTAAGCAATGCAACCCTGAAGGTGGCAGAGACCTGGACAGAGAGGAGGGAAGGCGTACTTCCTGCCCTCTGCTGGCCAGGAATGAAATCGCCAGCACAGTTCAGAGGCCAGTGGAGCTTAGTTAGGTCAAGCAGGGTTGAATGGGCAAGGCTCCTGCAAGAGGGTTCACAAGTAATAGTCCTAGACACTATGTTACTAAGAAGTAACTATCTTTTAGGTACTGGTAGGCAGTTTACAATTTCTGCATTATATACATTTTAATTCTCTAGCATTTCCTCTCAACAATGCTAAAATATTTTGTAGAAGTAATAGGCATCCTCAGTTAATAAGTGATACATCAGGACTGAAGTCCAACTCTGATGGTTCCAAATATATATAGTTTCCCATCTGTTTATTTTGAAGTCAGACTAATGCTTGCCCTGATGTGGGTCACAATTCTGATCCCACTTCTAACCAGGGTAACCATTTGTCCCTGATCCTTGCCTGAAGCCAAATTGCAGCTTCAACCCCAAACAAGAATCCACCCACCTTGCCTCCTGCTCCTGGCTCCTAGTGTTTGAATTACATCTTTCCTTGTGTCTAATGGTCTCTATCCCCATGAATCTGACTTTCTCCCAAGCCCGGTACTTTATTTCCATCTGTCTTCTGGGGCTAGCAGCCAAACACTAAGAGAAAAAAGGGCAGAGAGGGCCAAAAGAGCTTTGGGGGTGGGGTGGGGAGTAGGTACCTGGGAGTAGGGAACACAGAGGAGGAGTGTGTGCCCCAAATCTTAGCTAGGGTGAAGCCCTAAGTATTGTGGGAGGGAGAAGAGCCAAGCTGGAAGCAGATGGGTTCTCAGCAGGAGGGCCCTTATGGTCTTGACACCCCTGTAGAAATTTCTTTTAGCACTGACTCCAAAACTTCTGCCCACCTCTCACAGCTGCATGCATGTGGACCCTGGAGCCAGAACTGGTAGTTCTTCTCCAGAGTAGCAGGTGGTCCCTTCTCTCTGGCTGCAGCCCTAAGATCACCCTTCAGTACACTGGGCAGACTTGCCTGTGATTCACAAGCTTTGCTTTGCACAACTGGCTCCTTTCCCCCTGGTTACCAAGGTTACTGGCCACAACCACCATTCCCAAGAAAGAAAGGCATGTTTCTGGTTTTGGCTCAAGTGAGGTAGTTCTTTTCCTTATCTCCCTATAAGAAAGTGTATGACAGACTTAGGAGCCCTATGATATCAGGCAAGTTATCTAATGCTGAAGGCTTAGTTTCTTCATTCAAATGCAAGGGTAAAGATTAATTGAAATAATGCATTTGACTCAGAACCTAGCATAGAATAGCTTCTTAACAAGTCAAATATAGTATTTTTGTTTGCTCTCTGGGCTTTGGTTTCCTGATCAGGAAAAACGAGCATATTAATAATTTAAACTGCCTAACATTGTCATAAGAATTATAACCACCAAGTGATAAAAGATATGAATAGCACTTATGCATGATTTCATGACAATGTGTAAAAAATGTACATTTCTCTAAATCAGTCAATTTTTAGTTAACTTTTTAATCACTTATCTTGTGGAGCTTTAATCTCTGTTATGTTTTGTGGTATTCGTCCGTGTTCTTGTTTGCTTTCCCAATTTAGGGCCTTGGCAGGTCTTTAGGCATCATATGTTGGCTTGGACATTTGGAGCAAGGCCTCTGTCTTCTGTCTATGCCAGCTATGCTGGTGTGTTATTTTTTCAAGCTGGGTACCGCTCTGAGACTCCATACCTATTGATGGTGATTGTTCTTCAGTTTCCAAAGGCCCAATTCTTGGGGTCCCCTGCTCTGAGCCCTCTGCAGAACTGGAGTCCAGGCTGCTTTCCTTCGCAGGGACTGTGATAGAATATCAGCTTCCATTGCCTTTGCCTTCTGGTGTTATACGGCAAAAGGGACTCTGTAGATGTAATTAAAGTTAAAATAGGGAGATTGTTCTGGATTATACAGGCAGATGTGATCAAGTCAGATGAGTCCTAAAGGAAAGACCTTTCTCAGCCTGACAGTGGGAAAGACTTGGCAAAATGATATATAGTGTGCTTTTGTTGGCCTGAAGATTCAGAAGTCAGGTATCAAGGAGAAAGAGCTCAGTCATACAATCAAAAGGCACTACATTTTACCAATAGTCTAATTAACTTGGAAGCAGCTTCTTTTCCAGAACCTCTGGTTAATGGCTCAGCTCAGTGACACCCTTATTTCAGTCTTGGGAGGCTCTGAGCAAAGCCTGGATTTCTGACTCATAGAACTTTGAGATAATAAGTGGGTGCTGCTTTAAGCTGCTAAATCTGTGGTGATATGTGACAGCAGAAAAAAGGAAATTAATATAACATTTAAGAATCTCATTCCTTCTCTTAGTCTTGGGAAATCTTCCTTTGTTAGGTCCAGAAGCTTCTGTTTCTTCAACGCTAAGCCCTGGGAGACAGGCACAGTTTGATACTAAATGAATTATTTATGAAAACTTAGAAGCCATGGTCACAAAACAATCAAAGGCAAAGAGTTTCTGATTATTCTGTTTTTGATCCTGCAACTCAAAAACTAAGTTTAGGGGATGTGAAGATTTAGGTACCTTATGATGAGAGGAAAGATCAAATGCACAAATCTCAAAATGACAATTTCAATAAAATTTCTTGCTACATACACTAGTACTTAGCCTAGTGCTTGATACATACTAAATAATGTATTTTATATGTGAAGAATTTATTATGCCTTTAGGGTTATTTCCAGAAACTAAAATTGTATTCATTTCTGCCTGCCCTGATCTTCAAGTGTCAAAAACATTGTCTTCAAAACAGAGATGGTAAATTGTCTCCTTAACTAGAGGAACTCAGTATGAAATTGCTGTCAGCTAAGTTATTTTATGACATAGTGGCTCCACTGTGAAGAATTTATCTTAAGTAATAGCAGAAATAGGAATAAGAGAGAAATGGTAGAGACAGAAAAAAGGTGCATATCTGGCTGTGGAAGAGTTTTGTTTCTGCATTCAGAATATATCAGGTAGCCAGATGTTACCCTTTTTGTGCTGAAGATCGGGATTCTATGGTGGCAGGGGCCACCTGTTCTAACATAGCTTTCTTGGGGGAGAAGTGTGCATATTATATTATGCCAACACATAGCTTTTCTTCAGGTCATTAAATACATCAAATATTACCAAAATGTCCTTCATAGCATACTTGTGCATTCTAGATCAACATGATTTGAGGTAGAAAAACCTTTCTTGAAATTGGAACATATTTTCTTTCAACTCTGGGCCTCTAATCTGTTGCAACTCTCTTGACTTTAGATAGAAATATATATTTATGTACCTCTACATGTCAGGCACAGTTTGGTCCCTGTAGATACAGAGATGAACAAGACAGATGTAGTGATTGCATCTATCTATCTATCTATCTATCTGTCTATCTATCTATCTATCTATCTATCTACCTGATACATAGGATATATCATATATATATATATGATTGAAGTGCAACCTTATATTCTATAAAGAAGAAATCATGATATAACTACATGTTTTAAAATGACTCAAAGTGCAGTGACTCCCATAATCTCTCCTGACAATAGAGACTTGTCACTTAAATTATAAACTTAACCCTAGGCTCATTTAAAAATACTAACTGGCACAACTTGAATCTGAAGACTGGCCAGGTCATAGAGGAGCTGAAATGCTGACCAAGGATGAATGTGATTCAGAGATGACATCAATTTTTCCTACCTCAAACCAGCAGACCTCCTTCAAAGCACACCCAATTATTTCAAATATACTCATCTCTACTTGTCCCTCATCATGATAGTTCATTCTACCTAGTCTCTACTCTCTACCTTACATCTTGGAATACCATACAGGAGGGTTGGATGGTGTCAGAACCAAGATCAGCTACAGCAATTGGTAGGCTAGGTCAGGGCCAGGGAAGAATAGAAGCAAAGTTATTCATGCTGGCTCACTTAACTAGGTCAAATGCCTTTGAGTTCACACACTGTGATGTGCTATGCAGTGGCCAGTGTATGCCTGCAAATACATATGAGAAAGCACACACACACTTAGAGCAGTGCTATGCACAAGCATGCTTTACTTTGGCTTAGTACTGATTCCCTATTCTTCCAGTACTCCAATTGTTTTGAATCCAACCTACCAGGTACTACACACCTCATGCCCCTCACTCTGTGCCTTGGACTTTAGATACAATTCAATGCAGCCCATCATGGGTTTTGTTTTCTTTTTTACCTCCATAAATGCTTAGTGAGGAGGCAAATGATTTATTGAAATGCAATTTTCAGGGTACACTTGCAAGCCACCAATATGGGAGTCCTAGAGGACATCTTGGATCAAGAAGGCTCTGGGTGTGTTTCTGTGTTTTCATAAGCATGTACACACCTATGGAGGGTATCTATTGGTGTATGACTGTCAGGAGACACATAATTGAATGTGTGTATACTATGAGAAAGCACATGTGGGGACTCCAGAGCATTTTATGTAGAATACACAGTCTTGGCCAGAATGGGAATGTGTAATTTTGTGTGCATGTGTGTGTATTCAGGTTTGTGTGTGTGTGTGTGTGTGTGTGTGTGTGTGTGTGTGTGTGTGTACTGCTAAGGGAGAAATCAGTGTTTGCTATACTCCCACATCTCTAGCTGGACATCTACAGACAAATTCATTCTTGTCTCTCGGATAAAGCAAACTGGATGGCAGAGTTTCTGCAGGCAATCTTCCCTACAACTCTGGTTTCACTTGGAGGTGGGAGTCCTGGAAACAGGAAAGGGATCATTATGGACCTGGGGGACCCTCCTGGCCAGTTTCCCCCTCTCCATCCTTGGAAGTTCCCTCCTCAGGTTCACTGTCAATATCAGCCTCGACCAGGTCCTCGGGTACTGGCCATTCTCGAGTCTGCCATTCAAGCCTTTCTATTCGGTAGGCAATCTTGAGTGCACTGGACTCCAGCTCGGCCAGTAGGCGAGCAAACTTGGTCTGCAGATCATCGAGCTGTTGATCGAGACCTCTCAGTCGGGATTCTGTGGCCTCCTGTAGGGCAATCTCAGCTGCCTCAGCATTCACGTCCAGTTTGTTCATTTTGAGCAAGATCTCACGGCCCTTCTCTTCCATGACAGCCTGCGCCTGTGGATATTCACTGAGCACCTCCCGAAGGTCCTCTTTGCTTAAGCAAAACAGGTCTGAATAACCGAGACTCTTGATGTTGGCTGTGCGGCGGTTCCCAGACATGTTCCCTGTGGTCCGTGGGTAGACAGATGGGAGGACAGTTAGACAAGGGGAGGGGAGGTGGCATTTCACACCTGTATCAAGACCCTTGCCTCCATATTGTACTTCTATGTCACTTTTCTGTCTCACCAGTTCTTTCATTTGGTAGTGTCCTGGGAATTAGGTCGTATGTTGGGTGGGTATCAGTAATCTACATCAAATAATTCACAAGAAGCCAGGCATTTAATGGGATAGCTCTGTAACAGTATAGCTGCTACAGTTAGACTCATGCATTAGGTACTCTGGGAAGACAAGAGTCCCTACTAAGCTGTAAGGGCAGGCAGGGAATTTAATGAGGCTTGGTGGAAGGGATGGCTAAATTAGGTAGGAGGTAACTAGGGGAAGAGGAGGAGGCTGTGGGAGGAAGGCAATTTAGCCAGAAGGAGGAGCAAGAGCAGAGAGATAAAGCTGAAAAGAGTCAAGTAGATGCAGAAGACAGAGTGCAGAGCAGAGTGGCTGAGGTGCAGGGTGTGGGAAGAGTGCAGAGAGGAGGGAGAAGGTCACTTTGAATCTTGTTAACTATGGCAAGGAGTTCAGATCCTCTGCTGAGGGCATAAGACTCTTGAAACATTTTAAGCTGGGGCTTATACAGTATCGCGGCCTTTTTTTCAGTACTGGGGATTGAACTCAGAGCCTTTGCACTGAGTTACATCTGCCCACAATTTTTGTTGGGAGATGGGGTCTTGTTATGTCCCTAAACTGCTTAGGCTGGGAGCAGACTTGTGATATGCCTGCCTCAGCCTTTAAAAGTACCATTTGCATTTTAGAAGGAGCCTGATTACACCGAGGTCTCAGAGGGGTCATGGAGGGGCTACATGACAGTTGACTGTTCTTTCTTAGTCAAAAACACATTTTGGCCTCTTCTGCCTCATGCATATTGGTAAGAGGCAGGTGGGAAAGTAGGCTAAATGCTGCCAAGTCTCAGAGAAAGCTGGAAGAACATTAGAATATGTACATTTGTTGAACATTAGCTATGTAGCAGGCACTGTGCTGTGTCTCACTGCTACAACTCAGTCTCACAAATAGCTCTCTGAGTTTTCAATATTATTGTTATTATTTTTATTGGGTACATGAGGAAATTGAAGGCTAAAAAGAAAAGAGATTTGTTCAAAGACAAGTTCAAAGATAAGTTGAGAACAGTGGACAGCGTGCAGGACTTGGAAATTGAGGGGCAGATAGGAGAAGTTGAGAACCCCAGCTGTGAAAGCAGGCAGGCTTAGAGCACTTCTAGGTTCAGGTTGTGACTTTTACAGCCTCAGTTTCTTTACCTGTGATTAGGCACAACAGTTCCCACCATTCAGGCCTGGTCTAGAGTTGATGGTCCGTAAATGAGAATTTCTTCTCTTTACTTTCCACTGAGCTGTGAGAAAGTCATTCTTGGTACTGATCCCAAGAATGTGTACTTATCACCTATGTAACCTTGGGCAAGTTACCAAACCGCTCTGAGTTTCAACTTCCTTATCTTTAAAATATGACAAGATTGGGACCTATCTATAAGAGTCGTGTGGGAATTTAATGAGTTGATACATTTGAAACCCTTGGAACAGGGTGTGTGGTAGGCCTGAGGTAAACATTATTATTACTATCACCTTTGTCATTTTCTACTGGCTCAGTGCTGCAGTCAGTACCCACAGAGGACACCTACTCTCTCTTCCAAGGACCCAGCATGCTCCACTGCCTTTGGCTTAGCTTCTTTTTAGGGAACTTCACATCCCACTTCTCTCCTGACTCCTGTCGTGACTCAGGTAAGGGTCAGGTTTCCTTTATCTGTGTGTCTTGAGGTAGCACCTTTCCCACTCTTGGTTCTGCTATTCCCATTTCCCTCTCCAGTCCCCGTCCCTGGCACAGATGCTACGGTGCCCACCTTTGATGTTGATGATGCTGATCTCCCCGAAGTACAGCCCTGCCCCAAGCACAGCATACTGCGTGATACCATCGTCTGCCACCACAGCCAGCTGGCCCTCACGGATAATGTACATCTCTCTGCCAATGTCTCCTTTGCGGCATACGTATTCACCAGGCGAGTAGGTCTGGGGCTGCAGCTTCAGCACCAGCTCCTCCAGCAGGCTTGCCTCGCAGTTCTGGAAGATCTGTACCCGGCTCAGAGTGGACAGATGCACCGACACAGCAACCTCTGCCCGAAGTCGCTCAGGCAAGTGTTGTAAGATGGCTACCTCATTGGTCATCTTCTTGTTGATCTGCAGATGCTGGTACCTGGGAGGAGGGACAATGCCATTTCTTACCCGACTCCTACACGTGTGTCTCCACCTTTTCATCAGGGTTCAGTTCAGCCAAGAACCTGAGATCTCAGAAGGGTCATGGGGGGATACATGACACTTGGCTATTCTCCTTTCTTGGTCAAAGACATGTTTTGGCCTCTTCTACTTCATGTAAGTCATGGAAGCCTTCACTGCTTGACAAGGAATAACATACCTTTATCTCCTATCAGGCTCCACCCTACCCACAATGGGTGTCTCACACCACTTACATTGATAGCTACCTCAACAATTGGGGTCTTATCCTCTCAGGGGCCTTTTCTCAGGCTCCTCAATTATGTGATACTTTTTTTGTTCAGAACACGGTATATACTACCATGATACAGTCAGCCATGATACAGTTGGCCGTCCCTTGGGGCATACTGGCCATTTCTACTCACTCCTTCCAGAATCTTCTGAGACCTACCAAGCATGGACTCCTCCCATCCCCTCATCTCCATGTTATCTTTCTTGCTGGACTTCCTCTTCCTATCAGTCTCTTTCCCATCCTCTCCCAGAAAGAAGTCCAGAGTGTCTCAATGGAAGAAACTTCATTCCAGGCCCTTCTACCGAAGCAGGAATGAATACTACATTTTGAGAGCCTTGGGCCAGCGAGTATGGAGAATGAGGTTGCCTCCCTAAATTCTACCATGGGCTTCTCTCTGGCCCAATCTGGAAGCTGAGGATCTCACCAGTCAATAACGCGTCGCTCCAGTCTGCGGTTGACATGGTGTAGCTTCATATACTTCTTCACCAATGCATGATCTGGGTAGAAAGCCGCATCTGCAGTGTTCATGTTGTAGATGACAGAGCTCATGCTACCCATGATAGTGGCAAAACCCATGACAGCCAGCAGGAAGTCAGCTACCATGAAGAGGTACTCTTCCTCCCGGGCTGGCAGTGGTGTGTCCCCCACAGTAGTCAGGATCAGGGTGGAGAAATAAAAGCTGTACAGATACTGGCGCCGCAGGCGCTCAAAGCCAGGCTGTGCTGGGTCTGGGTATACCCAGGGGTCTTGCCCAAAGCCCAAGTACTGGGACAGGGCAAAATAGAGGCAGCTATTCCAGTGGATGACGACAAAGATGTAGAGCATCAGTTTAGCGATTCGAAAGGCATTGGGGTAAGCTGTGCGAGTCTCTGTGCGGTCAAAGGCCTCAAAGAGGCGGGGCACCCGAAGAAAGCGATTCAGCCTCAGTGTGGGTACATGGGGGCCCAACCGCATGTAGACCAGATCGGTGGGGATCAGAGAAGCCAAGTCCAATACAAAGCTCCACGTGCGAACATAACGACTGGCAATCATACCCTTGTTTACCACCAGGATGCCCTGTTCTAAGAATCCTAGGAGGAGGAAGGGAAGGGAAGGGACAGGTTGGGATCAATCTTGAGTGAGGATGGACAGGCCACAGTAGGGCACAGAGATAGACACAGGGACAAAGTGAAGGCAGATATAAGTCACTCCAGAGTTTCTAGGGTGAGTACATTAATGTTGTCAAGCGTAGGCAGAGGCAGGGGAAAGTGGAGGGGGTCTCTTCCTTGTTAATAAGAGGTTTTTTCTTTTTTTCTTTTTGAGACAGAGTCTTGCTATGTAGTTCAGGCTGGCCTTGGGCTCACTTTGTAGCCCAGGCTGGTCTTGAGCTTGCAATGATCTTACTGCCTCAGCCTCTCGAGTGCTGGGATTACAGGTGTGAGCCACCACACCTGGCAATATGAGGTTTTATTAGGAGGGGGACAGGGGACAAGGCTTCTGTCTGACCTGTGTGAAAGTGCACCACGATGTCCATTAGGTAGAGCAGATCACTGGTATAGTCCAGTATGAACCAGACCACTAGGTAACCATGCTGCAAGTCTGGAAAGCAGGCTCTGTGGGGCCCAAACAGGGGGACTTGGTTTAGAATCACTCTTTGTGGGTAAGGCGTTCTATCAGCCTATTACTCTGCCTTGGGCCCTTGTATGGGTGTTGCCCTTTCTTATGGGTGTTGCCCCTTCTTTAGGCACTGCCCAAGGATCCATCCCTCTCCTGGGTTTCACTCTTTACCCATCGTCCCCTGGTAAGGCCCCCTTTCAGTGCCCCTGCCAAACCTGCACACAATAATGATGAGATTATACATGACTGGGAAGACCATCGTGTTCAGCCACCAGTAGTAGTAATCCCCAGATGGATCTAGGACAGGCAGCCTCTTCCTGAAGGTAAAAAGGGAAATTTGCTTCACCAATTTACCAGACATTCAATGCTGTGGCTGTAATTTGAAGCACTAAGAGAAACGAGGTTCTACGGAGTAAGGAGAATAGATTTGATGCTGAGGACTAGGATCCTCACCTGGTCGTTGAGGGGACAGGGGGACTGGACTCTGTTGTCTTCACTTTGCTGTCTTGGCTCATGGTTCTGTAGTCTGGTTGTGATGCTTGAAGTATCTAGGGTCCCTCTGCTTGGGCAGGAGGGCGCTAATGCTTGACTGCCTGGAAGAGGCTGCCCTTGGGCTCCAGCTGTGATTTCTCTGTCTTCAAAGCTCTTAGCAACACAATTAGAACTAGCAGTTACTGAAGGGGTGGAGGCAGTGTAGCTGTAGCACCCTGCCCTATCTCTCGGGCATTGGCTCATGCCTGCTAGCTAAACACCATTAATGAGGTCCCTGGAGAAGGCAGAGGGAGCATGCCTCAGAAGGAAGCCTGGACCTTATTTCTGCCTTCTTTCTCTCTTCTTTAGCTCCAAGCTGAGTTGCACGGGGGTCCTGTAGAGCAGAGATTTGGGCTTCAATGTAGATTCAAACATTCTGTTTTATTTTGTGCAGGTTTTCTACCAGCTCTCATTATTTATTTAACAACTATTTGCTGAATGGTTCATCTGTGTCAGGTGCTAAACTAGTCCCCAGAGACCAAGAGTGGCCTCTCATATCAGATATGAGCTCTGTTTTCACTATCTATATCCTTATCTACATTCATATCCACCTGACCTCCTTCCTACTGAATGGTGTCACGGGGGCCATCTTATGATGCTTCTGTCCTTATTCCTTTGTTATTATCTTTAGTGCTTAACGCCTACAACCAATCTATGTATTTTGTGAATCTTCATCTTCTTCCAACTTTTCCATTTTTGAATATGCATAAATCTTTTCTAGACCAAAACAAGAGCCCTATTAATTCTCCTTCAATTTGATGTCGCTTTTATTACTGTCATCTTTCTTAGTCAGAGAGCTAGAATCCTGTTATGTTACAGGATAAAACCATGCTAAGTACTAGAGACACGAAGAGTAGGATATTCTTCCTTCCCTCCAGAAACTTACTGCCTAATAGCATCTTTCTACCCCTTTTCTCTTATCCAGGCTACTTAGGCCAGGTAGCACTCACTGTCTTAAACCTAGTGCCCTTGATCCTAGCATTGCACCATGAATTAACTCCAGCATCACACACTCTAGATGAGGCTTTGGGGGACATCTAGACACAAACCATAATGAGCCTCAATTGACATGTTTTCTGCATGTCCCTGAGTATCTAGACACACTCTGATTGCAGTTCACAGAGAATGCTCCATCCATGGTCCACTCTGTCTTTCCTTGTTGGTCCTTTGGATTACAACCTCTAATTTGTAATTACCTGTTTACCCTCTTTCCCCTGCCAGGCCGTAAGTAAGCTTCTGGAGCGAAGAAAGCATGTTCCATTCCTCTTGTCTCTTAATACTAACACAAAATTGGTCTGGCATGTAGCAAGGTTATAACGTGTTGACTAAGAAAGATGATAGTAATGAAAGGGACATGATGGTGAGGGAGAATTAATAGGCTTCTTGTTTTGGTCTAGAAAATATGTATATTCAAAGATTTCTTTTAAATACTTTTTATCTTGAACTAATTTTAATCCTATAAAAAGTTCCAAAAATAATACAGAAAGTTGCTGTATAGTCTTTACCAATTTCCCCTGATGTGACCATCTTACATAACCATAGGATGGTCAACCACAGAAAGTCGATAACGTTGGCACAACACTGGAAATTTCAGTCCTTGTCTGAAACTTTCATTTCTCTTAGTTTTATCTTATTCTTGCTTATTTCCCAACACTCAAGTCAGATGGCTTCTCCTCATGGAAGTCTTCCACAGGGCCCTTCGCCCTTCCTTCCCCTTCATCTCTGTATACACAAATCATGCTAAGTGCTGCTTTTGGATGGTTTACCTACTACAACATTTCTTACACTATGTCGCCATCCTCTGTGTCTGGTTGATCCCAGAGGGCAAAGACTCATTCTAGTTAACCTGGACATCAGCCTGTCCTATAGGCGCTCAATCTTTGTTCCTTCACCAACTAAAGCAATACCCAAAGGGTCACGGAGCTGAGAGACGCAGGAAAGGTGGCTACTGCTGGGGCACTGAGCGACAATACAATAGCACCTGCAGGTGAGGCAAAAATGAACTAGTTTGTTTATCGCCAGCACTCTTCAGATTCAGGTTTTCCGCAGGGCCTGCCCATCTATTGACTCCCTTCCCTAGGGCTAGCTACGCCCCCACTCCCATTCTTCCACCCTGAACGCAGCTCAGAACCCGTGGCTCCTCCTCTCTTCCCCTAGTTCTTCCATTCTAGTGGTTCTCCTAGGCCGCGCCCCTTTGCTTGCCTTGCCCCTAAAAGTCTTGTCCCTTTTTGGGTCCCGCCTCTGCCCTCTGGTTCGACCTTTTCTCCCCAGGCTCCGCCTCAGCCCTGTGGGCCTCCGCCTCCCCAGAGGTCTTTCCCTGCGATACGTCCGAGTCCCCCAAGGAGGGCGGAGTTTACAGCTTGAACGGGCGGAACCTGGGAGAGAAGGCGGTATTTCTTCCTCCGACTATAGTCGGTCGCCCGCCCCGCGTTCGGCCGTTGCCAGGCAACAAGCGTCGCCGCTACAGTTTTGGCCTCGCCTAGCCAATGAGCTGTCACGCCATTGCCCAGTCCTGCGTCGCTGGGCGGTTACGTGTGGTGCGTGGGGGCGCGGGCTGCGTGTAGCGCGGGGCGGGGCGCGGCTGTAGCGCCTGGAGAGCGATGGCGGCGGCCTGAACTCACCTTAGCACATCCACGACTACAGGCCCTGGCCCAGGTCGGCGTTCTGCGGGTGAACCATACGCGTGGGTCAGAGGGCCAGAGAGGCGCGTGAGGGATAAGGGGCTGGGGGATGATGGCACCGGGTTTGGGGACTGGTGGCTGTGAGGGGACAGGGTGAGGAGCTGGCAGGTGGTAAGGGGCAGTGTGTAGATGGGGGAGCGGGAGGAGAGATTGGGATGAATGGACAAGCAAAAGGTTGGCTGTATGAATCGCCGAGGTGCTTTCTGAGGGGTCAGGGTGAAGGAACTCATCACGAACACGGAGTCCTGAGGGACTGGGGCTCCAGAGGGCACGGGTGAGGGACAGTCCTGGGACAGAGCGAGGGGGCAAGGCCTGTGCGTGGAGAACGAGGAGAGTAAAGGGCCCAGGCGGGATCCTTGGGGTGGCGGCGAGTTGACGGGGGAGGTGAAGGCAGGGCAAGGGAAGAGGAAGAAAGGCTGAGAGTCGTGGGTAAAGGTGTGAGATTGGTTGTGGGCCTACTCCTGTGGATTTGTCCTGCTCAGTGAGAGCAATAGTTTTATTTTCGGACAGCATGGATAGAAGTGCTGTGATTTGCTTTCCTGCTCCAATGGATTCTGTGGATTTTGGAGGGAGTAAAAAAAAAAAAAAGGTGTCATAGGCAGTAGTAACTGTGATCATGAAAAGTCATTTTGGGGGCACAGTAATCAATAGAGTAATCATTACGGCCCCAGTTTCTTCTGAATTGCAGACTTGAAGGTGAGGTGTTTTTTTCTTTGTTTTTTCCTTTTACATTATGGCTGCTTGTGTTCTCTCTTCCTGGTTGTGAGCAGCAGTACAGTAAGCCATTATTGCTCCCTGTGCATGATTGGACTGACCTTATCTATATTGGACTGACTACTTTCAGTTGCTAATTCAACTTTTCCCGGGAGTTGCATGATTAGCTATACATAGTACTATATTTAGGCTTCGGAAAAGGATGGCCTTGCTCTCCTTTTTTAAAAGTTAAAAAATATTTTATTGATGTAAATTTATGTACGGTAGCCTCTTACTTAAAATGTACACTTTATGAGTGTTGACATATGTACACATTTGTGGAACTCCGGTCACTATCAAGATACCAAACATTTTTACTACCCTAAAAGTTTTCTCTTATTTCTTTGGACTCCATTCCTCCCTCTATACCCTGTAATTAGGATCACTTTATTAGTATATTACAAGCCTCCTTCTCCTCACCAACCTATACATGACAATTTTGGAATGTTGGATACCACTCAGTGATAATGGCCACTTTCACACTCTGAAATTTTCCTGTCTGTGACATTCTGTTATGGAACCGAGACATCTTGACTCTTCCTTAACACTAGGAAGAGTTAGATCTTCCCAGTGATAATTCTCTGAGAATTAAGGGAAGCCACAGTCTCCATTATATCCCAGAGTCTCAGCCTCACAACTGACTGTTCTAGTCTATGATGTATTTTCTTTGCTTCTCTCTGAACAGGTTAGCAACAGGTCTTCATATTGGTGGAACCTTTAGAAGCCTGTCAAGGCCTCTAGGACGTACATGTACAGTAGAATTTAGAATAGTGGTTCTTAAACACTGGGCCAAGGACGGTGATAATTTTCATCCAAATAAGGTGGAAAGAGAGATAACCCAGTGAGTTTTCCATAAAGTAAATTTACTCCTGAGATTATCCTTCCTATCCTGTTGATGTTAAAATGCTCTTTCACTAATGGAATAGCAGTGACAGTAGATGGTTACTTTTAAAAAATGGCTTTATTTGTCAAAATAGGAAGTGATAACCCTATTTTTAATTATTAACTTTCAAAAAATTATTCTTCTGGTTCGTGAACCTGAAATTCAGGGTGATGATATAGTTTCATTGTTATTTTAAGTTGAAGAGGCAATGCACTTATATGGTAATTCTATATAACTTCTGATATATGAGCAGCATTCGTGCTTTCATAGTAGTCTTTTTGCTATGAAAGCAAAGTTTCATGCTTTTCAAAGCAATCTCAAATTTTACTGGGTTTAAGTAGATATGAAGTAGGTCAGGGGAGAAATTCTTATAGTTGAATCAAATTCAGAAGCTAGAGGTCATAAGGGATAAAGTGCAAAACTGGACTGAAAATTTGATCTCTTGAGAGTGAGAGTGACTTTAGTAAGGTTTGTAACAGAGTAAACATGATGTAGGGCAAAGGGCATTGGGTATAGAGCGCGTGTGGTGATGTGGAGGACCGTATACTCAGCAAAAGTTTTTTTTTTATAATTTGTTATTCTGTTCTCAAATGAGATTAAGGGGACTGAGAATGTCATGGAGATAAGGGTTATGTTTAATAGTATGTCCATGACAAGGTAATATTTCCTGGGTCACATAGTAATGATTAATTAAATGACATATTAGAGGATTTTTAGGGATTTCCCAAATTCTTGGTGGTACTGGAGAAAGCACTGAATTTGGTAAATGTATTGTTTGCTATACTTAATCTTTGTTGAAATAGCAGTACATTAATTATAATGGATTTTGACTTATGACTTATAGTTGACAAGTAGGACTGAGAGATTGAAACCTAGATGAGGATGATACAGAGTTAGAAACATTTTTGGGATCTGGTGTGTAACTATTTATTCCTTATCTGCTATGTGCCAGGCAGTCTGATAAATGCTGGGAGAACAGACTCATTCATTCATATATAGTATTTTTGCATTTAGAAAATACTACTTAAGGATATGTAGACATTTAGAAAGTACTATTTGAGGAATAGTCTGTTCTCTCATTGCTCATATTTTATAGAAAAAGATAAGTCATGGTTCTCTGACATGTCAAGGAGTTCCTAGTCTTGCTGGGAGAGGCAAATGCATGAAAAGACAGTTTGAATTTAGAGAGAAAATTTAAAATGTAAAAATATGTCATAAGGAGATGATTACTTCTCTGTATCTAGTCTCAGTCTGTATGTATCCAGTGTTCTGTATATCTCCACAGGTATCTTGAAATTAACATGTCTGAAACAGAATCTGCTGTCTTGCCCTGAAAGACTGTTTTTGCACTGTGTGTCAGATTTCAATTCAAGTGAGGATTTTAGTGTCATTTTCCATACTTTTTACTCCTACACCGAAATAAAGTGAATCCAGTGACTAAAATCTTAATATATTCTGTTATCTCTCTTCTCTTTATCTCCATTGTCACATCTTCACTGTTAAAGCTTTAGTTAAGCTTGCCATTTATCCGATTTTTAAAAACAGTTTATGGCCTTAAAATTTGCTCTTTTCTAGTTTATCCCTAGAATGACCTTTCTAAAAATACAAATCTGATCATAGAACTCATCTACTGAAAAACTTTGGCTCTATCTTGTAGGACAACATCCAAATTCATTAATGTGGCCTCAAATCACCTCCAGCCTTGTCTCCTGCCACTCCCTACTTTGTATTCTAGCTTGAATTAATTGTTCACAGTTCCCTGACAAACATGTTACTTTTTTGAGCCTTGAAATCTTTGCAGTAGCTGACTCCCGTACTAGCAATGCTTTTTCTTCCCTGCTCAGTGAGCTTTCTTATTGTTTTTGAACAGTTTCATCTTCTCTTTGACATCTTTGGCACCCTAAACAGAGGTGGAGATCACCTGAGGGTTCACCGTAGTAAAGGGGCTTCGCTGCGTGATAGAGATTCACTTTGTGAATGATAAGACTCTGCTGGAGTCAGATGAGAGGATCCCTATAAGAAGCAGAGGTGGTATTAGGGGAAGAGAGGAAAGATGAGTTGTGGCCATATCCTGATTTATCTGGGGAATGGAAAAGCAGAGAGGATATGTGTGAGCTAAGCTATAGATTGCTAGGTTCCTATGAAGTAGGTGTTTTTCTGTTTTATTTTTCCTTTTGTATGTCTATGAGGCTCAATTAGTTTTTCTGTTTTCAATAATTGGCATAACAAGCCATTCATCTCCTATGTCTTAATCATCCTGCCTCAGAAGAGCCATTTTAGACAGAGATACAAGCTGTTCCTGGAAGGTCATTTTGGACTCTCCCTGACTTGTACAGATGTTGCAGGTGTGTCTCTGCCCCCTTAGTTTCCTCCTTTTCTTGCCTTTCCCAGGGCAAAGTTCACAAGTGTGGCTGACCCACTTACTGCCCTATATCTGCTATTCTAGGTTGGTTGATATTCTTGCTGTGTGTGCCCTTAGCTATATTTTGGACCCTAAGGTGAGCCTGACTTTGTGGGTCTGAATAATCAGGTCCTTCTCCTTGTTACCCTGTGGCTGAGCCTGAGGGGATATCTGGAAAGTGCGGGGAGTATACCCATTTTCTGCCCTTGGCTGTGTGAGGAAAGGGTGTCTAGAGGCTACTGATTGCTGAACTCATCTTTGTCTTGTTCTAAACTTTGCTGAGGATTTTAAGTGGATGACAGGGACACCAACTTATATTGTTACATTTTTTTCAGTATATGAGCAGGGCCTGCCTTAAATGTTGGGTTGAATTGTGAGATACTAACTCCCATATGACTGTTCTCTTTGAGATCTCTGGAAAGGGTTGGGCAGGGGCGGGGAATGAGGAGAAACCTTGTCGCCTGTCTTGCTTGGGTCTGGGACAGTACTCTGATGATTAACCTATAGAGCAGTATTGGGCACCCCAGCTGTTGTTAAAAGGTAGGGAAAGTTTGATAATCTTGGTAATTAAGTTTCAGAAGCTAGAGGCAGTTTAGTTTTAGACATGTTAAGGCCTTATTTTGCTAAGACTGGACACTTAGCCCTTCTTCAGTTTAGTGGGCTGTGAGTGTGAAAGTGATGAGGGTGATGAGGATGGACACAGGAGAGCAGGTTATATCTGTCAGAGACATGAACATTTTGGTCAGACAAACAGGAAAGAGGACGAGGAAAGAAACTTGTAGTGTCCATTACCTACTTTATGCCTGAAATGCTACATAGGTTATCTTAAAATTGACAGCATTTCATCAGGAATTCACTAATGAGGAAATTGAGGCTTACATGTGTGAAGTGACTTAAAGTCACACAGCTGGAAGATGGTAGGCCTCTGTTTGAAGGA